AAATAGCATTCTAGTTATGGTATACTAGACTCGTCCCTCTATCAACTAAAAAGAAGTTCAAGTCGTTTAGTCCAGTCCTAAAAAAGTTATTCCGCTTTAAAGATGTCCGTTTTATAGGTTCCTGATGCACTTGCAGAAATTAATTACATCTTTTTATGTTATTGAAGATAACGGGACAAATTGCAAAAGGAGCGAGCTGTTGCATTTCAATTTACTAAAGAAGTGGAGGAATATTGCAAATGAATGGGATGTTCTTTTGAATGATCAATCGGGGAAGAATAAAGAATTGCTGGTTTCAAGGAAGAACGGTCGGCGCGTAAGAAAGACAGCTTTCATGCCAATCGAACCAATTTCTTGAAAAATTGAATGCTGAAGCAGGAAGATATCGACGTTCCGAACGACTTAGAGAGGATTAAGGTGGACGCTTCTCAGAATTGCTTCCGATTCAGAAAACTGCAGATGGAATGAATTTGATTAATTTTTAATAGCGAGACCTAGTTTTTTCGTCATATATGCGATTGGGGTATTATAGTAATTGGTGAAATCATTCGGTACATCAATTATACAGAATGTCCCATTTATGCATTAAGTTTAATGCCAAATTTGCCATTAATGCCAAAAGTTTTCAATTAATTCGTATATTAAGCATACGAGGAAAATATCGAATAGAAAGATACAATATTTATCAAAGAGGAGGAAAACATTGTATATTCTTCTCAATAGCAAAGATTAATGTAATTTGAAATCCAAATAAATACAAAATATTACTAAGAATTAATGGTAAGGTAAATAATGAAATACGAATAGAATTAAGTATTTCAATACAATTAAGAATTAACTATGTAATACAGAATACAATACAAGGCTAAATATTTAAAGGATAAATATTCACCAAGTTTCTAATTCGATTTATATTTGTATGAAATACAATAAATACCTACCTTTGTATTAATGAAATAAATGCTTAATATTATGGATTTTTCAATATGGAGAAAAAAGTACCTAACTAAAGGGCAATTACTAGTCGATTGACATGTAATATACTTATAATACTTTCAACCAAAAAGGAAGTATGTATAT